TGCGGCGTATCTTACACGTGGGGCAGTAACTATTCAAGGGCTTCTCAAGAAAGTCCTACTTATTGGTAAATGTTGCAAAGCAGGCAGTTGCAAGACTCTTGGTTACCTCGGACAGTAGTTCGTTGGAAGTACACACTTCAAAAAATTCGATACAGCTATCATCGCGAGGCAGTTGACAAAGATACATATGCGGGCGGATCCCAAGATCACTAGACCAGTGGAGACTGCCTAGTATCACATTTCAACATAATTAAAAATCATTGCTTGGTCTGCTGGCAAAAGTCGTGACAACCTGCCACCAATCTTCTAAAATGAATTCCAAATATTGCTGGCGTGCTAAAGAGTGGCAGCTTTTTAAGTCTATTACAAAAACCACATATGTGCACCGTATCTGATTCTTTGACTATCACATCGACTATTCCTTGTCGTTTGTGACGCTTTAGCTTTTGATCTTGGTGGTACTATAAAACCATGAACACGCGATGGCTAACTTAAAACGAAATAAAGTAGCTTCTATAGCTTCTTGCAACAAAAATGTCTGACAAGATCAAGACGTATTTTACTCAGCTTTAAGCTGTTTGTGATTGATACAGATCAGGTGCCGTTGCGCACAATGAAGTTGTCATTACATCGGCAAAGATGGGCAAGATGTTTAACCCGCTTTGCGGTAATCATTAATAATAAGGTGCAAAACAGAGTCGACAAAGTGTGGTAGTGGATTTGTTATGTGTATCTTCCAACTATTTATTGTTCCGTTTCACAATGGTGACGGTGTCAATTGGTATGGTGATATGCTCAACATTTGGGTCAGCAGCAACAATCATTGCAATACTGGAAGCAAGGTGTTTGGGAACAAATTCGCTCCATTTACCTGGCTATTCTGTATCGTAAGACTTGCTGTTTACAGCACGAACCCACTTTACACCCAATATTTGGCAAATTGCAGAATGAATACTTTCATATTCAGTACTGATCGAGGTACGTGATATCACCGTTGGTGGTCACCTTTTTAAGAACATAACGGCTTCGTGAACAGTATCTAATGAAGACCTGATTCCATAAATAGGTAAATCCATATGTGTGCACATGTGATACTCTGCTCACTTTTAATAATGCTTGCTGGGACGCAGATATCTGGTACTCTTTCAGTGATATAATTGTAGTCTTTTGAACAGCCTGAGTAAATTGATCATCTCACTGCTGTCAACGACAAAAATGCAAGCGAGTATAAATCAAAATGAAGTCTTCATCAAACATATATTTACTGTTGTCATGACGTCGGATCAAGTCCGTCAGTTGCTTAGCCGCAAAATAGATATCTCCCGCAGACAATACATATACTGATAGTCAAACGGAACGAGTTAATACCATTCTCACTAAGCACATGCGTGATTGAAGTGTATTCATCCATTCAGTTCGCGGCAAACAGCGCTGCGCGTGCATCTTCGGGCTTTATATCACTCGATTAAAATGGTTGGACTACAGATCATGTACCGTTAAACAACGCCGTAAAGGAATTTTGGTCTTGATGGAGAAGAGGTTGGCAATATTATTCGACTTTCGAGTATCATTTCGGCTGCAATTCGCAGCATGGTTAAGCGGTTTAATGCAGAGATCAAGCTTCATGCCTCAGATCTGCGACTCAGTGACTAATAGTCACGACATTCAAAAACAGCACACATATGGCAGAGGCAGACGAGATATCGCTTAAGCTTTTTTGGGATTGAAAGGCAGAATGAACGCTGTTACTACCTACACAAATATTGTCTACACTTTGTGCGATCGAATAACATTTCCGCTACATTGAACTGAAACAAATCTTGACTTCTCGGAAAAACATCCGAATGTCTTCATTGACGAACTGCTTGTCAAAGTGCATACACTGAGGCACAGCTTGTAAGTGCTCAACATAATTGTTTTCAAATTCTTTTTCTTCTTATTATTCTAGACAGAACATCGTCAAGACATGTGTATGCATATTTACAACGAGACCTAGACATTCGTGCCACGAGACGTTTGCTTGTTCCAAGCGCATTCTGTGCTCAGGCTCATGACACCCCGCTCAAAATATGTATTGTTGAAACTAAGTTGAGCACTCATTTCCAATAGTAATTATTGTACCATCGACTTATCTGAGATCGCTGTACAGGGTACACACAGCCATGCTTTATGCTTATACAGATTTGACACTTGCGGTTAGATTCTGTACTTAGTTCATGCACAGTAACACACATGCTGTCTCTTCCTCTCTCCCTAGCTTTTTTGCGGCTGAATCGTAAAGCCGTTAATCTCCACGATGTGCAAGAGAGCTCAGATTCTTACAGCGTGGCCATCCTGTGCCCACTAGAACTCGACAATTCTCCGCGAAGTATTAATTGCTCGGCCTCATTTGAAAAAATCGACCTTTTCCTGCTAAAGAAATGATCTAGTTTTACGTAAATGTTTGGCGATCTTGCGGCAGAGACCACATTTAACAGTCATGATGCTGCTCGTCAACCAAGGGATCAAACTTTTATTGTTGCTAATAAGCGTGAGCCATACCACGCTAACGGCAACTCATCAACCATCAGTGACATTCAACCTTGATTATGGCTCACGGTAATCAAGGCTCTGAGGTTTACGGTAATCTGGGTATGCTTACCGTAATCTTGGTGTTTGATATACGGTCCTTAGCCGTAGACACTGCTTGTCTGGATGGTGACTCCTCCTTGAGAGTCGCATGCATATGTAGGAAACCAAAATCTACGAAATCTCACTTTCCAGTTCGTGCTTCTCTACTCAGTTCTGCTTCCAGTTGCTCATCATTCGTTAAAGGTTATGGGCCCAAGTCCAGTGGGGCCCAACGATGTCCTTCGAGACAGAAACTACTTTCTGTGGAAGTTCAACGCTCGAATGACTCTTGCCCGCAAGTCCTTGATTGATCGCCTCGTCAGCAGGGCAGAGACAAGCCGCGCAGCGCGACACGCCAGAGTGGGGAGTCTCATACCTGTAGGATCTGGCGTTCTTAGTCAAGCTCCTCAATTTTACGTATCAATCAAAGGTGCGCGATGCGCAATCGGCATTTGAAGCATGAGAAATGCTACGACTGTTGTTTTGCAAAGCAGAATTTGCACATTCGTATTCAGCTTCGTGAGCAACTAATTAATTTTGAGCTTAAGACCGGAGATGACCTGATGACGCACCTGATGCGCTTTGAGGAATTGTATCTCAAACTATCTGCCGCTGGTGAAATCATCGATGATGACGAAAGCTTGTAGTGCTATTGGGCAGTCTGCCTGAAGATTTTGATGCTATGGTCTAAATCATCGAATAACAGGTGGCATCACGCTTTTGGATGGGAAAAAGATGCTGCTTAGAACATAAGAGCTCACGCGTCGTGACAAGCAAACAGCTGCATACAAGACTAGCCTTTCTCAACGCAAGCCTCGTCCTGCTCGTAATGGTGATGGTCGCTATGAATATAGTAAAAATGGCTATAAAGGACGTCGCAATAGCAGCGGTAACGGTGGTTATGGTGCCTGGAAGGATCATGCTCCGCGTTGTAGTGGCGGTCGGTTCAGCGGCCACTGTCCTTATGTGGTAATTATGGCCACGAGCGACAAGACTGTACCAGCAGAAGCAGGGCAGTGGTGACGAGTTCGTCTTCTCGGTGGTCACCAATGAGAGAAGGTAACTTAACGTGGTTGTTGGACAGTGGAGCTAGCTACCACTCGTCTGGAATGCTTGATGATTTAGTGACTATCGTCAATCGGATATGCCTATCAGTGTGATGGTTGCCAGTGAGCAAAGACTCCAAGCAAGAGGTGTTGGCCACGTTTGTATCATTGGTGGTTGTAGCGTCAAGCTCACGGAAGTGCTCTATGTCCCGCACCTGGAGAGCAGGCTAGTATCGGTGTCCGCGTTGACTGCGCACGAGGTCCTCATCCTTTGATACTCATGGTGCATCGTTAACGATTGATGAGAAGGTGATTGCTCAAATTCCTCGTATTGGAAAACTGTATGTAGCATGTTGGCCAACATGCATCCATGTCGCAGGCGAACGCAAGTGAGGAGTTGAATGGTGGTGGTACAACCTAGATTGCTCGTTTAGCACACGTGTCACAAGCTAAGGTGAAGCTGCTCGTGAAAGCCGCTAACGGAATCTCGTCAATCGATCACAATGATGATGTCGCTACTTTATGTGACAGCTGCGCTCGAGACAAAATGTCGACCTCTTCGTTTGCTCGCCAATCAGGTAGTGAGGTAAAATCGAATTTACTACTCGATGTTGTCTACAGCTACGTTATGTGTCTGCTAAAGCCCAAGACTCGTGTTTGATCTCAGTATGTGTTGACCGTCATGGATGACTATAGTCGATACATCAGTGTGTACCTACTGAAGAGAAAAGGCCAAGTGTCGGGCAAATTTGTTGAGTTCAAGAAGCTGATTGAGAACCAGCACCGCGTGAGAACTCGCTGTAAACCCAGTGACAATGGTGGTGAGTACACCAGATCGAAGTTCAATCGATTATGTGCATAAAATGGTATCATTCACCAAACCAGTGCACTATATACGCCTCACAAAACAGCTAGTGGAACGCATGAGCCGGACCATCGTGAAAATGGCCCTTTCAATGCTTCATTACATGACTGTTGATCGACAATGGTGGGCGAAGAAGTAGTAACTGCCACTTAAATCATTTATCGAATTCCGAACACAGCTCGCCCTGACGCGAGTCCTTTTGAAGTGTTGAGAAGCAAGCGACCATCGTTCGAGCATCTCAAGGTATCTGGATCTCCTGGGCTCATCAAGATTGACAATCCAAATGTTCGAAACGGGATTTGAAGGCACATCGATGTACCGTCCTCGGCTTCTCCGACACGACGAAAGGTTTCCATGCCTGGAACATAAATGACTAGCGTATTGTGACCACGCGGACGATTTAGTATGACGAACGCCCTCCTCCATCGCATTGTACTGTTGTGCTGATCCATGATGGTGGCGATAATTATGTGCCACTCATGGAGGACGATGAAGAATCTCAAGCTCAACCACTTCCTACTCACCGGAACAACATAGACGACATGGAGGGCGACACCCCAAGTGCGACAGAACCGAATGAAGAATCGATGACCAATGTTGATATCCGCTCGATGATGCCAATGGGGGGGAAGTGAAGACCGCTCGCATGATCCAATTGACACTCAGGCTCGTGTCTCAGCCATAAAACCACCTGCACCCGTTCCAGTTATCCCATGATTTCCTCATCCAATGGGCCGTGTCAAGCTCTAGTCAGACAATACACATCGTTATGCTATCCTCCGGTTGTCTTTGAAGACCGTCTAATTTTCAGCGGTGAACGCACTCGTCCTCACAGACTCGGGTTCGATCAAGCTCGACTGTTGACAATTGAATCCGATCATGCTGTAACTCTTCCCAACATTTCAACTGGTGATCAACCTGATATTGAGGCTGATGCAGTACCAGTGAGCAAGAAACAACGTGTCGACTCATACGAGAACACTCTTGCTGTCAATGATCTGCCTTATACGCACCAAGAGGCCATGGCAACTCCTGAAGCTGCCGAGTAGAAAGAAGCAATTCAAAACGTGAAACGCTTTCATGTGACGAAAGACACGCGGGATATTGTCACGAAGCCTCGCGGTGGAAAAGTGATTAGTTTGAGATGGGTGCTTGCTCGAAAGTATGATGAGCGTAGTAACGTGGTACGACACAAAGCTCGATTTGTGGCCCGCGGATTTCCAGACACACAGTGTTGACTACTTTGATACCTACTCACCTGTGGCCAGCATGAACACCAATTGAACTTTTTTGTCTATATGCTGTAGAAAAGACTATGCAATTCGGCAGTATGACGTCAAAACGGCATTGTTCAACGGTGATCTTGAAGAAACCGTCTACATGCATCCTCCGGAGGGTATCAAGGTCGAGCCTGGCATGGCATGTGAATTACGCCGCAGCTTGTATGACCTTAAACAGGCTGCGTCAGCCTGGTTCAAGAAGATTCGGTCAGTATTCAAACAACCCGGGTTTAGTCATTGCCGTGCTGATCCGTGCTGCTTCATCCGACGTTCAGAAGACAACGTCTACGACAGTGTTGTTTACGTGGTGTTGTATGTGGATGATCTGATTGCTGAAAGCAGGACATAAGCCATTTCAGGCGGCTTATACGACGAACTGCAAGAGCATTTTGTGCTTAAGTCGCTCAATTTCGCCCGATATGTGCTCAGAATGGAGATTGCATACGAGCAAGATAAAAGGCAATTGGTCTCAAAGCAAAGTCATTTATTACCAAAATGTCAACCAAGTTCGGTTGCCTCTATGCTAACGCCGTCCGCAATCCACTGGTCATCGGTCAAGAATTCATCATTGATGCGACGCGTGAAGCCTTTGACGATATTTGTCGGTGCGGAGAATTTGCTGGCTCTTTGGTACATGTGGCGAATGTAAGCGGCCAGATGTCTCAGTCGCACTCTCGATTCTGTCCCAGTACCTTGATTGACCTACGTCAGCTCATTAGCGCGTCGCCAACGTGTGCTGTGTTACCTAAAAGGAACGATTAGGGTCGGTATTCGATACCACATCGGCAATGATGATGCGATTTCACGCCGGGTATTCGTCGATGCGAGCTCGGGTGGGAACAAAGCAAGTCGACGCTCGACGTCTGGCGCACTTGTGGTGCTGTGTGGTGATTCTGTCGTATACAACGGCAAGCGTCAGTCTACAGTTGTCCTCTCATCCGCTGATGCCAAATACATGGCACTCGCACTTACCGTAAAAGAGGTGTTTTGGATCCGCTATTTCCTTGGTGAAATTGGCCTCAATGCGATCGGTGGCACGACCACTAGCAAGACGTAAGCCGGTGCTAATGAAAGCGAACGGCTCAGATGACGATGAGTCGGTAGAAGACAGTGAAGGTCCATTGACTCCGAAACGTGCCAAGATTGACGATGATGAACAAATTGCAGAAGCTGTTCTTGGCTACGCTGTTAGCATTGACGCATACGGACCTACCAACTACGTATGCTCAATCAATGGCAAGCGACGATGCGATGACGCAATGGATGCTGAGCTTCCCTCTCATGAAGAAAATCGAATGTGGACATTGAAGCCACGAGGAAAGAGTAAACGCATAAATGATTACGATGGGAATTTGCCAAGAAGCGTGATCAAAATGGCGATGTCGTGCGATACAAGGCACGACTGGTCGCGAAAGGATTCAAGCAAAAGCAAGGCTTCGACTTTTTCGAGACTTATTACTCGATCACCAACATGAATATAACTCGGATAATTATCGCAGTATGTGCTAAATGCGACTAACAAATGGAACAGCTAAACGTCGACACGGCTTAACAGCGTGTTCACGGACAACGTTTTTATGGAAGTTCCGCCAGGTGTCAACAATGATCAAGGATACATATGTTAACTAAACAATGCTGTCTACGGACTGAAACAAGCTGCAAGTGCTTGAAACAAGACGAATCATCGTGTCTTCGTAAGGAATGGCTTCAAGACTTGCGGGGCAGATGAATGTGCTTATATCAAGAGCTCGAATATAGGGTTTGTCAACGTTGGACTATATGTCGATGACATGATTATCGCAGCAAAATCCAGCGAAGAAATAAATCAAGTCAAAGACTTCGAGTAGTAAGGTACTTGAAGACTACGAGCCAAATTGGAACCGTCTACCGAGTTAGTGGGAGCGTTGCGGTCAAGGCATACTCGGATGCAGAATGGGGCAGCAACACCGATGACAGACGTTCGGTTTTGGGAGTTAGATGCATGATTGCGAGCGCACAAGTGGTTTTTCAATTCAAAATATCAGCGAACGGTTGAGCCAAGTTCAGCGGAAGCTGGGTCTACGGCTCTCAGCCTTTGCACGCAGGAAGTTCTTTGGATCCGGGCAATGCTAAGAGACATGGGACACGAGCAAGTTGAAGGAACACAGGTTTGGAGAGACAACCAAAATGTGATCACGTTAGCCAATAATGCCGGATACCACGCTAGGACGAAGAATGTGGACATCAAACACCACATTAGAACGTCAAGGAGGACTGTTGAAGATCATCTATATTGACACGAAGGGTCAGCTTGCAAATATGCTGACGAAGGCACTTGAAACCAAGATGCTAAAGTATCTGCGCGAAGCCTCATAAATGAAGGTGAAGTTGGCAACAAAGCACACGCAGCATTAGCGGTGAGTGGGAGTGTTGAGAATACACCGCTGAATGCATGCTGAACAGGCAGATGACATTACCATATTTACGAGCACGTCACAGTAAGTAATTACATAATGGTTGGCGCTTACTGGTCTAGATAAATCAGGATGATATAAGCTTCTAGGAGAATCTAGAAAAACAGCCCTAGGGGTAGTACAGAGTAGCAAATTAAGGACCTAAATATATCCACTTCGGTTTTTACCTTTCGCTCAACAAAAAGCTCAGAAACGTTCATATTGAAAACTTACGAGGCGTTCGTAAGTGTATGAATTTTAATAAGGTGTTTGTCAATAATTACAGATGAAAAAGATCCTACGTTTCGTCTGCTGTACTAAAAGCTAAGACCGTTTACGATTCAATGTAGCGAGAATTCTCCTTAGCTGCATAAGCTGTAGATTCTAAAAGTCATGTAGGGAAAGCGCTCAAACGAGTTTCAAATACATCAAATCATGCGATGTTATGTATGCCTCTGACATCAGATGCGCTTTTTTCTTCTTATCGCTCAGCTTCGCGCCTTTTTGACAAAAAAAGCGGTTTTCGCAGAGGTCATGCATAATAAGACATGATGAGGCAAATTTGAATTAGGGCGTCATTCACCATCGTGTCACTTGCCGCCAAATCATCGCAAAAAGTTTACTTTGCTTCGAATTAAAGCAAATCTTGTTTTGAAATCTTTAATGGTATCAGCAACCCCTTCGCATGATAGCGAGATCCACTAGTTGCGTTTTTAACCGTACATGATCGCTGAAACCTTATGAAAAGAGCCATTGTGGCGTAAGCAACGTTGTTCTTTTCATAATATATGATTAGATCCGTGAATTGTTGCAAGAATATAGCATATACTTGACCCGTTGACCGTTGGTCTAGATATTGTCTGCTTCGACTGTTTATCTCGTGCTCGGTGACCAGAGAAATTAAGCTGATACTGTGTTTACAGTTAAGAAAATGGGGTAGACATTGTTTTGAGTGTATCTTGCCCGTTTAAGTGGCGTTGACAGCAGCGAAATGAACAATTTTTCTCAAGCCTCTAAAAATGCAATGAAGGTTCTAGAAGAAAATACGGTAAAAGAAATCTCAAAATTTGCTGACTGGCTATAGAAGTATATGGAAGTGGCGAAAGTTTACTTGTCGACCTGATTGACATGTGCGCGTATCAGTGCTTACCTTATTATACACTTAGTTTACCGTGACATATCGCTTACTGAGCTATACACTTTTCCACTGAGGTGGCCATCCACGGAGGGTTTATTTATCTCGAAAAAGTCTCCTTACGTGGTGTGCATCCTGCTATTCCGCGACACTTTATGTGTCCAGTGGGTCACCACTCAAAACAGCAACATAAGGTGAACAAATAACTCATCATACGAGTAACCGCACGCATTGCTGTAGCGAAATCTGATTTTCAAAACTTCTTGCTTCCAAATCTTCCGGGAGTGCAACACATGTTACACAAAATTGAATATCCGACTTGCCAATCTCCGAGGGACATGTAAGGTAATGGGCACGTGTCATTTCATATGCTGTGTGAGCCACATATTTGTGTATCTGACACCTTGTATAGCTGTACATAACCTTTCGATTCTGTTGTATCAGAACTGGAAGTACGTATTAGGTCAGCGAGATTAAAAGCATATTGACAATAATGGTAACTGCTACTTCACCTTTTCTCCCTTCAACGTAAGCCAAAGGCCGCTGGAAGCGAGCAACACGCGGTGAGGCGTGTCAGTTGATCTAAACCTTTTTCAAAAGTGTGTGTACACGGTCTGGAAATTCCCGTTGCACTTGGTTGCACTAGTAGTCATTCGTGCGCCGATTGCCTCGAAAGCTTTTTCGATGGCTGATGGGGAGGCAGTGGTCGTCATTGTATCAAAAGGGAATATTATTCGCTCCTAATACACTTGCAGTAACTGTGTTGTGAAGCCGCGAGATTAAATCGGAGATCACCCGGTCTTTGATATTCTCTAACTCGATGAAGAAGCGACAGCTCAACGCTGAGCAAATTTTGCTGCTTATGAGCAAGGGGATTGATAGTTTACCGCGAAAAACAAACGAACTTGATTTCGTCACCTCCTAAATATTATATAGATTTTGCTCTCACGATGGCATAAATTTGTGATGACCGTCTTTGCCGAGTCGCAATTGAATGGCCGTGCAAAGGATTTGGCGATGACGGGAAAATTCAACTGTCCTTGCTACTTTGCCACAAGGCAAACGTTGATAGGCTATGGACTTGATGAATCTTCCATCGAATACTGCATTCTGAAAATAATCGAAGTTTGTGTCATGCCGTCAAGACAACAGCATGGTGTACATCTACGTACAGAATTTCCGTAAGCTTCGTGCCAGTATGGCAAGTGAACCACTGTCTGAGGTAGTGATGGTCACCAAGTTTATGAAGGTCCAAAGCTATGGTCCTACTAGACTGAAGTCTTCTGCCAGAGCCCGACGACTCCGGAAATTGCAGATATGATTGCATTGCGTGATGACTACTGTCAGCGTCATGCATGTGGTCAATCGGTTAGTTCGATGAAAGCAGTAACTACTGCTTCCGGAGTTCAAATCAACGCGATGACTGTCCGTAGGCAGAAAGTTTGCTGGTACGGATATCAACAATTTGATCACATCCGCTGCGATTGTCCAAGTGCGAGACGAACCTCACAATACCGGTTCTTATCGAAATGTTCTCATTCACGCCGTAAGGTGCTCTGGAAATGCCGTTACCCAAAAGACACAGGGCGGTTCACTTGGGCGATTATAAACTCTTGTTAGCGTGGTGGTAGAAATAGTGATGAGGGTTTAGCCCTTGAAAATCATTATCTTTTGTTCACGACACAAGTCGAAGTGGTCTCCTCGTGGTCACAGCAAATGTGAAGGGTACTGGCTGTCCATTTAATATCTTGACTGACTCTGGTGCGTCGCGTAACTTTACGCGGGAGCAAAGTGCTGCTGAAAATGACTAAATTCTGTCAGATGCACTAATAGAAACAATGGATTTATCTCAGTGAAGCTGGCAACTGTTGCGGTGTTCAACGCGAAGAAAATTATGGTTTCTCTCAAGTGAAGTTTGAGGGATTCAACTCAAACGAGGTATTAAGAATTTTTGAATTGAACAAACGGTATGGCCTGATTTTAGGTATAATGTGGCTTGAGTAGCCCGAGCCAAGGATCTTTAGCAAATGAAAACGATTGGGAGTAGCTCTCCTGGCTCGGGTGAAACTCTTGGGAGTGACAAACCCACATTCACTTTACATCAGTAAAAGCGCTCAAGCTCTCGGCAGTCGTATCCTGCTGGAAATGATCCTTACTTCATGCGTATATATTATGCGATTGCAATGGAGTGGCCGCGGGTATGGTTAACTAACTAAGTATGTTGATAGATCATTGGTGTCCGGAACTGGCAACTTGAAAACGAATGAATCGTTGGTGAGCATGGTTTTTCGCCCAATCGAAATCATTTTTCAGGGAGATATGTCGGTTATTGCCCCCCTCAAAACAAAAGAATGTTGTCGACATGTGTATAATGGACAGTCGAAGGAATCGACCGTGGCTGGTTTTGCCAATACTCTGATAGCTACAGTAGTTGAATCGGATTGTGGGTTATTGGGTACTTCTGGCCACAATGGTGATGCTCTCACCCATTGTGTGGTTAGCATACACATGCGAAGGACTCAACGAGATATGTTGATAGCGGTTCTTATTCTCACACTCTGGATGCAGTTGAGTCCATGGGTGAGTCAGTCCAGCGTCCTAATCCTCATGATAAAAATATTGCGTGCGAATTTGCTGGTCCATGTATTGTGGATGTAAGGACTAATTATAAAGTAACCAAACCTGACGTTTTCTGCACTATTCCCTACGATGGAAAAGCGTAAGCAGCATGAGAAAGTCAATTGCGACGACTGCCTACACGACCGCAAGTGTGATGACATTGCGATAGTCGTGTTGCTAAAGGTGCAGGTATTCAGCGGGAAGAAAAGAAGAAAACTGCGCTCATCATCAGTTATGGATGTTTTAGTTCGCGTAGCTTTTTGATGACATTCAGAATCACAGAGAAGATCTGCTAATTTAATGACCAACTGATCCTTGATTTTCTCTTGATCTGTAATACAAGGATGACGTCCTTAGTGTGAGCTCGCCCTCTGCACTTCCACCCAAACGTGGTGCTTGACACCAGATTGATCTTTAATTTTGTTAAAACCATGCAGTGTTTCAACGGTGGTCACTATCATTTTTTGCTCCAATAAAGCTGTTGGGTCGGTGAGGGAGCGCAAGTCCCCTAACAGCGCACCGACATTTTGTGTGTGAGCGAAGTGGTAAATCACGTAGTTTACACGCCTATAACAAGTTGAATGCGCAGACGATTTCTGCGCAAGCATCGATTATACGGAAGGATGTCATCATTCACCGGATGTCCAGCTTTACACAGTTTGTGTTACTTCTCACAAACCTATTTTAGTAACATTGTTGCCCATTCAAAGGACGAAGATGGCAGATCTGCCGAAGAAGTACACCTGGAGCACCTTCGTGTAGTGTTAGAATGTATGCGTAAACTTTTTTGGCAAACGAATCTTGCAGAGTGTATTATCGGTTCCGACGATGTACTGATCTTTGGTTATTATGCTGGTGAACACGGTGTTTCGAGCAGACCTTGAAATAGTCAAAGCAATCATAGTGCGGTCGACGCCACAAAACCAAAGGGACTTGAGGAAATGTATTGGTCTGTCCAACTACCTGCATCGCTCCTCGCGTAACTACGCGGACATGGTCCCCACTATCAAAATTGCTGAAGTAGAACGTACCATGAGAGTGGTTTTCCGTTTTTGAAGAAACAATCATTCAAACTAAGAATAGATTGATGGAAGCACCATTGTTTCTTTTATTAAATGATAAAAAGCCATACAACGTGGTGTATGACGCTTCTGAGTTTACAGTCGGTTGTGCATTATTGCAAAAGGGATCAGAAGAACACAATAGTGTCGTGTTCAATCGCAATGGCAGGAGTTAGCAGCAAAGAGCTAACGTTTTCGCGACAAGGAAAATTGCTTTTCTGAAATTTCGTATTCATCTCTTGGGCTCAATTCAAGTTGTCGACTACACGAATCACGCAAGTTTGCGATTTGCAGTTTAGTCACCACACTTGTCATAGCGAATGGCTCGCTGATTGTCAGTCCTCACAGAATACAACTTCACGGCCACGTACAAGCCAGGGAGACTGAACATGCTGGTAGACTCATTGTCAGGTCATCCTGGTCATGAGCTAGCTCATATCAGCTATATCAAAAGCGATATACTAGATATGATACGTCACGCGTATATTGAGGGTGAACAGTGTGATCTGACCATCAGAGCACTGTCATCAAGTGATACGGAATTCCATGACATGCGTCCTGGTCGCTTGTAATAAGGTTGCATCGTTATAAGCCTCGATTGCTTATTCGTCGTAGCTGTCCCAGTATTGTTTGCGTACTCGATGCGGACTCAAAGACGGCCTCTACTCAAGAAAGCTGCTCCTTACTCTTCTTCCCATGTTTCTTTCGTCGTAAATGGACTTATGACATGTCGCGAGCTTCCTCGGTATCGAAGTGAAACCATTTCTGTGCCATTAAACACGCATTTTGCGCACCTTGGACAAGTCAGCAGCGGTGCTTGCGCTTTGCAAATGGTGGATGTCAACGGATTTGGTGGCCGAACCCATCTCAGAACTGTGTGTCGATTGTCTGAATGGAATACTGAGTGGGTTACTGGGCATATGGAACATGCGTGAGGCAACGTGGGTCACCACAAACCCGAGTAATCGGGTTGATGGCGCATACACGAATCGCGTCAACAGTCGAGCACGCATTCGACTAAAGATTTCGCCAAATTTCATGGTGAATCTATCACGTCTTCCGTAAGTGACGTGACGTATAAGTTCATAATAGTGTAAAAGCGCATAATGACTTGGTATTGAAGTGAATTCCTAGTTTGATGGTGATGAAGATTTCATGTGGAGCAAGCGTGTAGATTGTCACTCTAGCGAGAGTTTGAAAGAATGTATGAAGAGCAAGAGTTTAAGAAAATTTTAAGAGCTCGGAAAGTCCACTTTTGACTAGGGAGGTGGTGTAATGAAAGAAATCCCTTTACACATGATGTGTGGTCCACATAGTTTTTGTGTCGGTCATTATTTATACATTGAATTTCCCATTTCAGCTCTGATGCAGCAGAACTGAAATGATCACCAGGTTTGGTAGGTTAAAAGCCTAGTGGCATGAAACATAAAAGTCATGTTACCTTTCCTACCTTCTACGTAAGCTAACGGCTCGCTGGGAGCGAGCAACACGCGGCGAGGCTTGTCATCCTTCCTCAGAACGTTTGGCTACATGGACGGCCAATTTCCCGTGGCGATAATGTCAAATGCGTAATGACGCATTATCTGTATCGATCACATACGACTTAGAGCCAAGCAAGTGCTTTTAATCTTGACAAGATATTTTCTATTGTGAGAATCTTTTTGCCACCATCAAAATAGTCATTGATGTCGTTTTAAGTTAGCGATCGCGCATTTGTGTCCATGGTCATCTTCTTGGAGTAAAGCACCACCTATAGCAAAGCTAAAACTCACAAAGGACATCTAACATCCAATTACCTGCTGTCCGATATCACGTTTTTTTGTGGGATAACTATTCGCGTCAGGGTGATGGTTGTCTTTAGATTATTGTAAGCTTATAATATTCGCCATCTCCACTTAATCCGACGAATTTAGCGCTCTCAGCTGGAGTAATGATAACCTTCTTTACATCTCTAAGAACTACCCGTTTTGATTCATAGACTAACCGATAACCTTTCTCGGCAAAACACATATGTTATCATTGGACCGCCCGGTAGTCGCTTCGGACGTGATTGCTGATTCAGCGATATCGTTTGGCTGTCGCAAGGGTATGCCATCTACTCTTACGTAAGAATGTGTCCATCTCTTTTGGATGAAAGTTATCCATGTCCGCCGAGTCTGGCCGTGAAGACCGTAACGCTCACAGGGTCTGACCCGTCTCTGAGAATCAGAGCCAAAAGACTGCAATATCATGTTGCTCTAATTTACCCCACGAGGTGCAATTCCAGATATGAACAGCTTGCAGCTGTACAAATCCATGTACACACTAAATACCACGACACATGTTCCTCAGTTGCCTGGCACAACATACGATAGCTACTTTTCGTCTCAGGCCAAGCGGCTCACTACCACTTCTGTCGCTTAACTTTCTCTCAAGGCAGTAACCTGACTGCATCAAACAGTTGCATACCTTACATTGAAGGTGTTGCAGCTCCTTGATCGCACTCAATGATGCTCTTCGTTCTTAATACAGATGGCTTTGAACTACCAAAGCTTCACAAGCAGAGACGATTATGACACCCAATGTCTTCGTTTCTCGGCTAATTTATATTCTAGAACGGTTTAGGCACACAAATATGTCCTCAATTGATTGTATTTCAGCTTCATAAATAGCAATTCACTCTTCAAAATTTTCAGAAGGTAAGACAAAATCTTCTGTACTCTATCTAGTATCACCGCCACAAAAAGCGAGGTTACGGTATACATATTCTGCATCCTTACAGTTAGGCGTGATGTCTGATACAACTTGACATTTTTCCGCAATGACTTGTGATTGACCTTCTGGTCCAGGAAAAGTGCCTTGCTTGATAGAAGTGCTTAATTTCAAAATATAGCGTCTGCAAATTACAAAGAAGCCAAGAGACCACCCTAGTTTTTCTCAATTTGGCTGAGGCCTATCGCCTTTGGCTGACTCATAGATCCTCAACCATGAGCATTCCAATGTGCCCTTGCAGTATCGAGACATTAATTCTCAAAGATGTCCATCACTTTTCAGCAGATGGTGAGTGGACGCAATAAAACACAAGGCATACTGCACCTTTTTGAAGCCCCTCTATCATAATAATTATCACTTTCAGGTCTAAATTCGGCCCGCCATCTATTAAAATTCTTTCCTGTTGGGTATATCCCGCAAGTTTACGACTTTTTGACGAGTTGATGGAAACCATGGATCAGCAATTTACGAATGGTCAGTCGGTGTACACACCGGCGCATTTCTCCGCAACTTTATTTTTATAAAATGCCTTTTTTATGTTGCTAGTGCCAATTAGTGCTTATTCTCGCGACCAGCTTCCTAGCTCAAAGACAATTAGGGCGATGTACCGCTGCTCTCTCTAAAGTGTAGCCGAGCATTTTGCTTCTAGCATTTGATTTACTGAAAATGATTTTCTGCCCTTACCGTCAACGGGCTATACGCTTAGGATAAGAGCCCAAAATTGGAGCTGGCTGTTTCAATAGCGTTGTTTGATCATTCCTAGAGCGGTATTACCGGCGTGGCATTATAAAAATGCACATCTAAACGCAATCCAACACCGCCTTTGGTAGTCAAGTCCCGGCGTCTAGTGCTGACTTATTTTTTTAAAGTTATTTTAATACTGCTTTGCGGAGTGTAAAAGTTTTGCTATAGCGCAGCGATCAATGTTGAATTCATAATCACGTCGAGATGAGACCGTCAAGAGTAATTGTCTCACTTGCACTTATGGGCAAGCTGGATATCGTCGTAAGCTCCACATTTCGGTGTCGCGATATTATTCCCACGGTTTCTGACAGTGCTGGACGTTGATGTTATTAATAAAGATCTTTGTAGTGTGCATATCTCTTATTACAGATCATCGATGTTTGTGAAAGCGAATACATCGGCTTGACCTCAACAAGGTATACAAGGTATATAAGAAACCAGTTTGATCCACTACGCTGCCCTGTGCCAACTGGGACTCGACATTTGTTTGCGAGGCGCCACTTGAATTTTTGCGTAGGAGCATGATTAATTATACTCTTCAGCCCTTAGCGGAAAATGAATGCAATGACTGATAATCAGTCTTCTCATTGGTAAAGTACCTGCAAGTGCCGCGGAGCTAATTACTAACCCGATTACCTATCTATTTCTCCTAAGCAAGATTGACTGTCATCCATCTAGGTGCGCTCTAACCGCTTTCTCTTTCGGTACTCCATCGGGACCTCACAGCACAAAAGTTATACACGTCAATAAATGCAACAACCTTCGTATATAAAAAAGCGATAGAGTGAGTGAAGTTAACGTAAAGGGACCTAACGCAATCTGAACCAGTATGAGATCCGCTATGAAAAAGGCAATCGCCAAAGCCTTGTAACAAGTCCGCCGATATTACAGCGATAAGAAATCGTATCTTCTAGCAATAGTACCTCACTTATTGCTTTTCTTCATCACCAGACGATATCACGGATGCATTCTGAATGCCGGATTATTCGGTGCGAAATCTTGCGATACATATTGTTTGATGTTGACCGTTCTCTTCCGGAGAGATTCTGCACGTCAGCTCCCGTTTTTTGGGTGCAGATTTCTAGCTTGGAGACCACCACTGTAACGTTTCCCGATGCATGTCCAAATTTACCGTAATCTCAGTATCCAATGTCCCAGAACAAATTTTATATGATTCTATAATCGATGGTCGGGATGATCGGTATCAGCATTATCAAGTTGGGTGATATTTATGTATCTACCGTTGCCCAGCTAGAATGCTACTAGAAAGCTCTCATCAACGCAGTCTTATAGCTGGTAAGCTCTGCGTTTTAAGTGATCACCTTGTCTGGCCCTTGAGAACCAAGTTTCAGAATTGATTGAATCCGTAAATGGGACAATTTTTCCCATTTTTGTCTAGTTGCTCGGCTAACAGGTCATTACTCGATGACAAACACGATTATGATATTTCGTGCGTCTTGTGACGATGGCACATAAGAGAACCAAAGAATCCATGGTTACATGTTACGTCAAATTCATTCTCCATACGTATTACCGCATCTTAACGAGGCATCATCATCGAGACATATGACAGCTTATTTTTGGAGCGAAGCAAAAGCGCATTTAAGCTCATATAATGCCGACCTGATTCATACAATAATCCAACGGTATTGTGGGAAAAAATTCTATCCATCTAGTTATGCTTTCTATACGCCCCTATGTGCAATAACAAACGATTTGCTGATCACGAAGTGCCTTGAGTCAAACTGGTGCGTGCTGAACTTGACAAGGGCATACCTCATTGTAGACAGCTCCTCTTCATTGACAAAGTCGTGCTCCTTCGCCTCTTTAAGTTGGCAAGACGCAAACCCAAAACAATTTCATATGGATCTTATCGTCTGCTTGGGTGAAACGCAGCCTATTGCAAAGACTAGTGTGTCACAAATAACATGAATAGGCAATCCGGATGAGCTAGATTTGGGGCACGCTAGAGGCATACTTTGGCCAGCACCATCTAACTAACCTTTTTACAAAATTTGGTAAGGAGCCGCACGATGTCGGCAAAGTTTGCTCTGTGCTTGATCGAGTAGTTAGTTGAGCTAGGTCAATATATCAAGGCATTTTGAAACAGAGGCACTGGCCAAACTATAACGGCCTTGTACTTTTCAAGATCTACACCGCAGGTCATGTTTCCGAATGAAGTGTAAAAAATGTGTTTGGCGACTACGTCGCACTTGTATAATGGGAGAATAGTTCTTTCATTCATCACTATTCGCAAGCGCTAAATAAACATACCACATCCCACTTTCCGTTCTGAGGGACGATGGATGAGATTATCGTAGAGATGGGCTTGAGAATAGCCACGATGCGGCCCGTACCGCTGCGTCACCAGACGATTGGCGTTGCTGGAGCATTAGACACTTACTGTGGCATGACCAGCCACTCCCTAAGCATTCCGCTCTAATTCTTACCGCGGTTAAAATGATATTACCAGTAGCTGGTACTTACCATCAACAAAGTCAAGTGCACTATAACAAATAAATCAATCGTACTGCCCTACAGCTGATCAATTATGGATCCAGCGCCAACTAGTGGTTGCATTACGCTTTTTCTATGCACGTAGAGTCCAACACTTGCCATCAGCTTTTTTCTGAAACAGAAGTCGATACCAAGTAAAGAGATTTACTTTCTCGCAGCAAATCGCTTTGTGTTTCGCACAGAAAGACGTCAATGATCTGACACTGTTTCCAGAATGAAGACTGTCGCCGTGATGTAACTTATGGTTTCGGAACGCACATCAATTTTATGATGCACTCCTCTATTCAAGATTAGCACGCCTAGTGTGTCGCTTGTGTCCATGCTGTATATTTCCAAAACAGAACGGTAGGAACATTGTCGATTGACGTCCCACTCCTCACACTCCGTGCTCTGCATACCATCCACCGTCCTATTGATTTCTCTATCTTTGCTTTCTTACGCACATATCCCCCGAATCAACCTGCGGTTCACATTTCGCCGTCGCATAATACGCTTGTCGATCAATGTGCTGCTGCTGGCACATCTATTGTCATCAAGCCAGAATCTCACTCATACCGTTATCTAGGCATTCTTTTTGTCGCGCTTATTACATATTTTTTAACGTGGTGGTGCATGGGTAGTGAGCCTGTACTTGCATCGTGTGCTCTATTTGTCGGCATCGTGTCTGTCCTGCTCTTTCCATGAATTGGTGTTTTTTGTTTGCACTCACATTTGCTGAGCTTTTATCGGCATTTCCGACCGATGGTAGTTTTTATATGTGGGTGGGTGTGGCATTTGGTCGTCCCATGGGTTTTAGAGTGGGTATCTAGAGCTGGGTCGCAGGAGGTACGTTATGACCATGATGTTCTAAGCTGAAGGATAGAATTTTCTGCTCTATAGAACCATTTGCCAAATATTGCGAAAAGAAACTTGAAACCACGAAAATATATACACACGAATGAACACCATTTTCTTCCGCCGCTTATCCGTAATAATCCTCTGCTTCATACGATGGGCCCGTCACACAGTTTCTCTGATTTAATAAAGTGACAAATATATCCATTCTTCTTAAATTAAGCGCCTGATCATTCTGCTCATGACATACATTCGCCCTTTAACCCCATCGACTCTGGACGCAACACCTAGTTGTTTTTACTCCCTGCCAGCCGTAAACCATCTTAATACAAATTGCTACCGTCCCGCCAACGATACAGACTGAGGACCACGAAACACCGTCGTCTTTTTAAAAATTGGAATGTTTGGGCTTTGCAGTATACAAATGCTTTTTGCTGCACTATTTGAGACGCTCACTGCCGCTCCCGGTACTTGAGCACTGCTCGAGGTACACTTGATAACGAGTTTACACAGAATTATGATGTGTGAAAAATATATTGCAGCTTCATGTCCAACGACAAACGCGCATCTGCTTCCTAACAAAGTTTTACATCGCGGAAGAATTGTACAACGTATCGAATATTTTTTTTTCGCTCCGTGGCTCGTGCGGCTTCAATCTTGCTATTTTTTCACGATAAGGTTGTATAACAAATTGAAATCCAGAACGAGGAAACTTTTTCTAGTATTAGCAATGCAAGGCACACCAAAATCATATCGTTCTCATAAACTACAAGTACTATCTAGCATTTTTGACAGTAGCTTATTGTACAATGTGTACACATTGTACACATTTGTACAATAAGTGCTAATTCATCAGGGAGTATAGTACAAATGTGTACTATACTCCCTGATGAATTAGCACTTTTGAAGCTTCGCAGGACCCAAAGCGTTAATCTGACAACTAATCACTCTATAACAAGCAGATCACCTCCCTTCATTAGAGCCCCTTCTTGATGGCCTGGATTATCTACAAACTCCAAGATATACAATAGATATTTTTGTGTTAGATTGGGCTATCGGGAGCCTACAGGGGCTCGACGCTCTCCTGAGAGGGGGTATAGTCGGATAATGTTGCGTAGGGATCTGACTCATCAAGCCAATATGCAAATTACACTAATTCTGACCTCACGCAGACAAACATGTGTGAGTACCACGGAGCTGATCAGCAGCTAAGAGATCTATTCCGTTCTCTCGCGTCCCTGACAGATTTAAGCTACCGAAATCGGCACGCTATGAATAAGCTTTCTTCAGCGCGGGATGCTGGTAGCTTTCTGACCCATTCTGGGACAAAATTCCGTACCCCTCATTACATACGGGGCGTCTTTGGTCAGTGGGGCCTCCTCCAACCTAAACAGAGGCCCATCGCCTTTGGCGCGCTCATAAATTATCTGTTTCCAGCGATTTGTGAGCAAGTTTTTCGAGCACACTTGATAGCCTAGGGTGTACCAAAAAACTCGACATTTGTCGCTCAGATCTTATTGTACAGGGAACGCATCTTTGTCCGAGATACTACACGTCAGTGCCCGTTCTGCGCTCGGCTTTCTGGTATGTGCACCACAAACGTGATGCGATAATACTACATCTCTGTGTTGCAGATTTCATATTCATATCGATGTCCTCAGCTTGAAGGGGCCGGAAAAGCTTTTCTCCGTTCCAGCCGTCACGTCTGGATGCTCCTAGATAAGTGGCATCTCGGTGGGGTTACCTGTTTTATCACTCAGGTGCTTCTGTATCGCCAAAGCTGACATACATTCCCAGGTTGCTATTAATAATTACAGCCCTTTAATCATCAGTTTTTCTCATCCTGTCGGAACAACGATAATCAAAAGCTTACTTAGCTGGACTTGTGTATTGCGTTGTGAATCCTCGCATGAGGACTCAGTCTTTTCATGACTCGGTCGTGCGATTGATCACAAGTGCTACCAAAAGCAACCGGCTTGCCGTGCACTCTGCTCTTTGCACAAAGAAGCCTTGATTCTTATAGTCAGCATAAACAATTACACAGCGGTTGGGTTCGTCCGCTTACCAAAGAGAGGGATGTACTTATTATATTTAGATATTGACATGTGAGTTGTATGGATATATTGTGTTAACCACACAAAATATCTGTATTTACCCAATGTACCGCCATGAGGTGGCTTCTTCATCGCCAGAAGTACGTTTGTATGCAATCGCACGAAACTTTGTGGATGAATGGATGTGTATTTGAGACGATGCTTCACCCTTGCGGAGCTGCTGACAATCAATCATTCGTCATTCTTGATAACTGTAACTGTCATATAAATAACGACAGCTTTTTCTTCCCGGCAGCTCGGAAACGACCTTGCGGTATCGACATGTCACATGCTGGCATGCCTGTGCAATGAATTCTTTTTGTTCGGATGGTAGCTGCCGGTCTTTGCCATGTCTGGACTCCCCGGACTTTTTATAAGCAAAAACTTACAGGCTACCTTCTTTTCGTACTGCTTCTTCTTGTCAAAGTGAGCGATTAATGAGCAATAATAAGATTGTCTGACTTTTTATGTTATGTGTTTTGCGATAGCGATACATCCACTGTAGCTTGAATGTTTACACAGCTTGCCGTGCGCTGACATGTACGCAGAAGACTCAGTCATCTTTGTAAATGCGCTTTATGTCTACAAACTTTAGTTTACGATTGCCCTATCTCTCTGTGACGACAGCCAATCCAGGCTAGACGCACTGAACTGACGAACGAATGTGGTCGTGTAGGTCACTCACTGTAGGTCAAAGTAATACAGGATGGGATGCAGCTGCTTTAAAGGCTGTCAGCAAAACTCTTCTT